TCCTAAAAGGACTTTCTTAATGTTCCCAGTTCTGAAGTCATTCCTCACCAAAAGCATGTTTTCTTCCTTTCGGGGTCACTTCTGGGTGTGGGGACAAACCACCGAATATTAGAGAATCGGAACTCAGAGCTTTTCAGCTGATGATCACGGGGCCGCTGGAGCTAGAAAGGGCACGGGAGACCGGACAGGGCGAGCCCGGGAGACAGGACAGGGGCGTCCATGTTACTGTCTGTTGACCCCAGGATTTCAGCTTTCTCCAGCTGTAGCCAGAAACATTACATTGTTGCACTCAAGGTCTTGCCTATCTGCTTTTTCTCAGTGCATTTCTGTTCGGCAAGCTGGTGTATTCTTGGGTTATCTCGTGTTTGTTGCTCTCCCCGTATTTAAAATGTTTCCACTTTCTGCTTAAACTTATGTGGCTGATCATCCCTTCAAGCACCTTTAAAATATTGGCATTCAGATGGACCAGCTGACAGGTAGCAATGGCACAGCTTGAGGTACATAGACAGACCCCATTGTGCCATAGAAAACCCGTTCTCCCACGAAGTTGTCTGGATGAGAAAGCAGGGCTTTCCTGTAGGCTGACAGTCAGCATGCCGTAAGGCACAGTGACTGATGGGAGCCCACGAAGCCATTAGATTCACTTGGTATTCACTGAAGCCATACATGTTGACTGTAGTTAAATGTTCTCAATGTGGGAAGGGACCGCGATGGCTTCCGGTAGGCCAAAGTGGAGTGGATACCATATTGGCGTGGTGCTTTCCCACTCTTGCCGTGTGCTTTCTGATTGTGACCTCACCTGATCCTAACACAAATCCAGCGCAGGGAGAGCATTCCCCTCACTCAGCAGAGAAGCTGAAGCGCAGGAGAGTAGGACGTTTGCTGGAGACGGCACACAGTAGCAGGTAGGACCAAGAGCAACACCCGGGTTCTTGACCTTCAAATCCAGTTAGTGGCCCCGGAACCTCCAATCCTGGCCACAGATTGATTTTGTTCTTCTGTCTCTGTCTCCAGAATACAAGCCTGGAGAGTTTCAAAACTCCCTAAGCCTGGAGAGAGCACTTATTCTTTGGGTCAGCGTGCAGCGAAGCAGCAGCCTTTCAGCTCTTGCTTGCTCGCTCGCATTCTCTAGCCAAGGCCAGCCTCTGTGCCTTTGGCCTGGGCAGCTGCTCTGATGCACTGCCCCCAGGTTTAAAGTCCTAGCCACCAGTTCAGTACCTAAGTGAAACAGTCTCAGTTTTGCATTTTCTAAAACAGTTTTATTTCTGTATTATGTATACAGTGTTCTGCCTGCATGTATCCCTGCAGCCAGAAGAGGGCACCAGATCTCATTACAGATGGTTGTGAGCCACCATGTGGGTGCTGGGAATGGAACTCAGGACCTCTGGAAGAGCAGCCAGTGTTCTTAACCTCTGAGCCATCTCTCCAGCCCTCAGTTTTGCATTTGTGTATAAAACTCACTTCCTTCTCTTCATATGTAGCACATATGTACGTATGTGTGTTTGCATACATAAGAGTGCACGTGTGTGCAGATGCACATGTGGCTGTCAGAGTTGATATCAAGGGTCTTTCTCGGTTGTTCTCCAGCTTGCCTTTTGACAGAAGGTCTCTGGCTGGACCTGGAACTCACTGACGTGGCCAGGCTGGCCAATGAGCCACCCATGTGTCTCCATCCCTCCAGCACCCGCAGATCCTGCTTTCTTCATGCGTGCTATGCACTGCACTCAGGGCCCTCCCGACGCCCTGGCGAGCACGTAACCAACTGATTCATCTCCAAAGCTCCAAGCCTTATTTCCACGGATAACTTTAAAATACATATATTATTGGGCTGGAGATCAGGCTCATCTGTTATTCAGTGGTTAAGGGCACTGGTCACTCTTCCAGAGGATCCAGGTTCTGTTTCAGCACTCACATGGCAGGTCACAAGTGTCTGTAACTCAAGTTCCAAGGATCTATAACACCCACTTCTGGCCTCTGTGGGCACCAGGCACCCATGTGGTACACAGATATACATACAGACAAGATTTCCATGTGTGTGCACTCATTCATATGTGTATGATATAGGTGGGGGGGCACATGTACATGTATATGGTGGTGGTGGTGGTGGTGTGTGTGTAGGGGAGGAGGGCACATACATGGCACAGTGTGCTCATGAAGGTCAAAGGGCAACCCTCAGGAGTGTGTTCTTCCTCCATGGTTCTGGGGATCTACCTTGGACGGCACAGGCCTTTTCAACCTCTAAGCTGCCTTCCTGGTCCTCTACCACACGTCATGTGCTTTTCACTGTGTGTGGTCTACGCTCTTCTCATTGTGGTGTGTGGGAGCGTCCACCTGTCCAGTACCTCAGCCTCAGTGCTGGTAGGCCCAGCAGCGGGGTGGGCCCGGCAGAGGAACGAGTGACCGGAGACCACATCCCCTGCAGCTGACAGTGGGCACTCTAGGTCTTGGCAAATGACCGTTTTTGTGATTCTCTGTTCTTGAATAGTTTAGACAAAGGTCAAGAGTTCATTTCTGTTGCTTGTCATCAAGAGAAACAAGTACTGAAAGAGTGCTGTGTAAGTACCATAGTGAAGGATTCGGTGTTCACCAGGCGATCAGCTCCTGGGAAGGGCATTTTGCATGTTCTCCAATTCCCAGAGTGCAGATAATCCTGCTGTGACCGGTTCCATTCTGCACAATAACAGGCTCTTAAAATCCTGGAAGTCCGGCAGTCAGCTGCCTTGCACAGATCAAACCGACAGTGTCTCCAGGACACCACTGTACATTCAGGGCTGTGTAGATCGCCCTGAAGAAAGGTCCACCGACCAGGCTTTAAATGTTGCTCTGAGTTCCTCCCATGCACACCTAAAAATGATGGAAACTCAAAGGGACCAAGGAAGGACGTTTCCCATGGATGCCAAGCGACACAACATGGAGCTTAGAGTCAATGATTCTGTAGTCACAGAAGTGTGGTGTCCTTTTTAACAGCACATAATTAGTAGATCTTGTCATCTTTATAGCTGTAGGATTTTGTCTGTAGAAAAGAGAAAGATCCTGTTTCCTGAAAATATAGAAATAGAATTGGAAGTCTTTTAAAAGGTGTGTGTGTGTGTGTGTGTGTGTGTGTGTGTGTGTACATTTTTTTTTAGGAGAGTGTCTTGGCTTGACTTCTTTGGGCATTTAAAATGACTCAGAATGTGCAGAATTATGTAGAAACCCAGTATTGGAATCTACTTTGTCCGTTTGAAGTTTTCAGCCTCAATTTCTTACTCATTTCAGGATTTTGTTTTTTAAATCCAAAACCAAAGGTACTTTTCCCTTGACTCATAAGTGCACCCTGAAAGTTGTGAGGTCACAGCACCGTTTTCATTCAAGGTAAACTGCCTTTTTTCCCAGGTAGAGTGGGTGGTGTGAATGGGAAGGAGCTTTCAATCTTTCCCTGAAGTGTGTTTCAGCCTAGCTGAGGAGGCTCCACAGGATGTAACGTTCATTCATGGGGATCGTTCAGAACGATGCAAGACTGCTTCCGTGTGGTAGGTTGTTTTCATAATGTGTAGTGGATGTTATCTGGCTTTAGCTACTTGTTACATAATTAACTTTTTTTTTCTGTACTGGTTCTTGGAAGAGGACTTGAAATCCAAGCTTAGATTGACATCGCCAGGCTTCCTCTCCCCTTCTCTCCCCCTTCTCCGAGCAGCCTCTCCTTCCTTACCTTTTCAGTTTTGTAGATTTTTCTTTTGTTGTTTGTGTGTGTGTGTTTTGAGACAAAAATCATGCTGTGAAGGCCAGCTTGGCCTCAAACTCTCAGGCCTTCCTCCTCAGCCTCCAAGTGTTTGGGTCACAGGCATGTGATGCCATGTCCTGCTGATTTTCAGTTCCTTATCCATAATTTTCCTTTTCCATAAAAGAGGAACCTAGAAAATAGTTAGGTAACTGCTTTAAATGCTATTAACTAATTTATTTTATGTGTACGAGCGCTTTGCCTGCATGGACGTATGTGTACCATGTGCATTCAGTGCCCACAGAGGCCAGAAGAAGGTGTAGCTCATCTGGAACTGAAGCTATACACGTTGTGTATATACAGGTTGTGAGCTGCCACGTGAGTGCTGAGAAGCGAACCCTGGTCCTCCGTAAGAGCAGCAAGTGCTCTTAATCACAGGGCCTTCTCTCCAGCCCCTGTATTACTACTGTATTCTTTATTCTTCTCTCACATATTACATCCCGACTGTAGTTTCCCCTGCCTCCCTCTCCTCCCAGACCCTCCCCTCCCCTCCCCTGTCCCCCAGATCCACTCCTGCTCTGATTCTCTTCAGAAAAGAGCAGGCCTCCCGAGGATGTCAACCAAACATGGCCAAAGAAGGAGTTGCAGTAGGGCCAGACACCTCCCCTCGCAGTAAGGCTGGGCAAGGCCACCACCTAGTGGGAGGAAAGGGGTCTCAAGAGCAGGCCAAAGAGCCAGAGCCAGCCCCCCTCCCACTGTTAGGAGACCCACCAGGACACCAAACTACACAACCGTAACATAACTGGAGATCACGAGACACATAGACTTAGACCCTTTCCTGTCTCATGGAACGAAAATGCAAGTTACACAGTGAATTTGTCTTCCCAGGTCAGCAACGCGTCTGAATGGTCGTAGAAAATGTCTTATGTTTCCCTGTGTCAGCTCATAGGTAACACTTTTTTTTGTGCTAGACCTTCTAATAAAAATAATTTGTGTCCCCGCCCCCTTTTGATTGCCAAAAGCCTCTTCAGCAACTTCTCTGCAAAAAAAAATAAGGACCCCCTCAGACTTTGACTGGACTCTTGCCACATGTGGGCACCTAGGTATAAGCAGGGGCGGCTTGAGAGGCGGAGCGTCGAGCACTGTCCTGGAGGCTCCTGAGCACTGTCCTGGAGGCTCCTGAGCGCTGTCCTGGAGGCTCCGAGACACATTCTTACATAAGCATCGCTCCTGCTGCAGGCTCACACCTGACTTTACGACATAAGCCAATTAAAGTAAAGCAAGTCCTTTTTATAGTTACCTCAAGTGGGAAGGATCCTTTTCCCTGTGACATAATTAGGTGTGAGTCTGCTGGCTTCGCCCCTGTGGAATTTTGCACCACGCATCTGCAGTCCATCTGGGAGCTGTGAGATTTCTCTGACCTTGACCATGTGCCAGCTCCAGCTGGCCGCCTCACCCCAGGGGTTCTATAGTTCTCGCGCAGGCTTGGAGCATTCTTTCTTTCCCTGTGGATATCCCGAATGCCATACAGAGAGAGGTCTTCCACCCTCTAGAAGTGAGACTCATGGAAGAGGACTGTAGACTCTGTCTGGGTCAGACATCCTTGGATGGTAGAGGGAGAGATTTTTAAACTGGGAACAGGGAGACTGGCTGATCTCCTCAGGACTGATGAGCTTCAGAGAACTTGACGTTATTTGCTGTAATCATGCCCCCTCTACCCCGGAGCAGTGCCCTTTAGGTCCGGCATCCTGTCCTTCCCTGTTGCCCGGCATCATTATGAGGTGATCGGTGGATTGCAAGGGAAAACACAGCCCACTGCCTTTGCTCACTGAGTGCTGCATGGGACCCAGAGGTGTTCTTGACCCAGATTTCTCCCCACCCCATCTCTGACGAGTTTATCTTGTCATCTCCCCCCCCCCACCTCCGTTCTGCTGTATTCATTCCTTTCTGTTGCTGTGACGAAACACCATGCCCAGTATCAACTTGGCGAGGGAAGGACTTCCTTGGCTTGCACGTTACAGTCTGTCACCGTGGAAAGCCGGGAAATGAAGGAGAGACAGTGGAGACTTGCTCAGCTTGCTCCCTTATACCACCCAGGACTGCTGGCTGGGATGGGCACTGCCCACCGTGACTGGGCCTTCCCACATCACTCGTTAATCAGGAGAATGCCCCGCAGGCTAGTCTGATGGAGGCAATTCCTCAGCTGAGTGTCTAGCCTAGGTGACTCTGGTTTGTGTCACACTGACAAAAACTAGCCAGTGCTCCTCCAGACACCACTGTCACCAAGCTGACTAGATTTGAGCGTGCCGGTACTAATTAGTTACTGTGCAGTGAAGAGCTAAGGACTTCGCTCCTGGGATAGGAGAGCGGTTTTTTTTCTAATCAAGGGACCACGGCACATTCTGTCTCCCACCCACCCCTAATTAAACCAGCCCCCCCCATTCCAATCCACAGACCTGTGATTAAATGTGGTTTCTAGTGTCCACGATCCAGAAAGTGCTGTGACCATTGATATCTTTCTGTGCTCCGAACATCCACGGAGGACAGGTCTCTACACACAGCACCTCTAGGTCCCCAGGCCCCCTCCAGCTGCTGGTCCTGTTGATCTTGCCTCCTAAGACGCCAGCCAGCCTTTCACCCATGATGCTTCATCCCTTTTCTGGCCTCAGAATTAGCCACTATATCACCTTACTAATGATGTGCTGCCTCTAGCACAGGAAATCTCAGGTCTGTTTTGGGTTCTTTGGCTGCTTATCTTGACTGACTCTGGTTCCCTTCATGAAAAATAGTGGTGCCTTCAGATCACGAGGGGAGTGTCAAAGGCTGTGCAGTCAGTCAGACGATGACGTCACAGCGTCACACCATTAAACGTCATTCTCAGGCCTCCCTGGTCTTCCCTGTTACTAGGCTTCACCCCAGTCTCTCTGTTTACAGACCCCAGTGACTGAGAACAGTGACTCCCCTTTTGGGCTCCCAGCGTGAGTGTTTCCCCCTTGGTGATCTCCCACTTTCCCCAGTGACTGGTTCGTGGGAGTGGACTAGAGCAGTTGTGATCCCAGCAAAGCTTAGTCCTCCTGAGCCTGGGTGTCCTTGTCTGTGAGCCGATGGGAAGCGTGCTCAGGTGTGTAGACATGACAAATAACCGGGGTGAATGGCCTTCCACTTTGTATTTGTTGGGGCGCTTATAATAGAGATAGGGACAGTTTGTTAAGAAAAAAAAAAAAGTCAATTGAAATCACTCCCAAGGGTAGAAGTGGACTAGGGAGCTGGGAGGACAGGCAGGCAGAGGCACACCTCAGCATGAGTTCTGATCCTCTCCAGGTCATGTGCTTAGCCCGTCCTCTCCAGAGTCTGTGTGTCATGGCTTCTCTCACACACGCTCTGCTGGCTGTAGCCCAGTCAAGGACAGGTTCCCAGTCTTTCTCTGTAGATCCTCTTCCCCCCTGGGTTAATCTGATGTCCCTCTGCACATCAGGGTGCTCCCGCCGCCGCCGCCACTGACCCCACTGAGACCCTAGCTCACAGAAGTCCTGTGGGGAAGCTGAAGGTTAACGTTGGTGATGGAGACAACATGCTCCCTGCCTGAGAGGGACCACAAGGCCCTTTCCCTCCTTTATTGGTTCGAGAGAAGTCTCTGGCTTTGGATTACCTGTAATGGGATTTGGGAGCATCATGAGGAGTTTGGTCTGAAATCTTTACACATCCTTGAGACTAAATTTTACAGGCTTGAAAATACAAGGTCTAAGCAAGAGTAACATGATTACATCAGCCAAAGAACCCAAGAAGGGAAGAGGCAGGAGAGCCACGGCCATGCTTGGTCCAGGAAAGCCAGCCTTTGGTAGCTTGTAAGGAAGGGGTAAGTTCTTAGACTGCTATGTAATTACTGTTATACAGTAAAGATGGAGCAAGATGCAATAAAGAACTAGTTTAAGGCGGAATCCAATGGTAGAATGAAGTGTGAGGTCACACCCACTAAACACAATACTCCCCAAGGAAAAGTAAGGAAAACTTAAACCTCCTTGTCTCATTCATCCACCAGCCTTTTAACTCCTCTCCTCTCTCCTCCTCTCTCCTCCTCTCTCCTCCTCTCCTCTCTCCTCCTCTCCTCACCTCTCCTCTCCTCTCCTCTCCTCTCCCCTCCCCCC